GGACCACGCGGCGCGCAATGCCGGGCTCCGAGTCGCCCACGTGCTGTGAGCCGGCCGCGAACTTTGCCGAAGTTCAAGATCAGCGCCCAGGCACCGACCCAAAAAGCTGGAGGGGGTGGTGCCAACTCTGCCCGCCCAGCTGCTCGGAACCGCCTCCTGGACGCCCGCTTCTTGGAGACTCGCGGGGAGCTGCCTGCCGCCTTTGGCAGCCAGACCCCCAGGCGCGTGGGTCTCATCCGGACCAAACAGGATGCTGGGGGAGGTTCTCCCACCTGTGGCCAAGCGTTTAATCGCGGACTAGGCGGGGAGTGGCACAGACTCTCTCTGTGGAGCTGCAAGCCCACAAGACAGGCGGGAACGTGAGATTGGGGTTTAGATATTTGAGGAGACACGGGTTGGGCTTTTGGCTTCTGGCAGGTTGCGTTGCGAAGTGGGCCACTGTGAATATTTGGCTGCGCTCTTAGACTGGGGAGGACTGGTCGGAGGAAGAGAGGCTGCCTGCCGGATCCTAGCAGAATAACAGGGGCAAAGAGAGCAAATGTTACAGACAGCTTGTCCAAGATCTGAGGGTCAGTAGTGATGAAACCTGATTTACACTCACGTCAGCCTAGGATTGAGGTCTGTAGCGAGGGAGAACGTCATCGTCCATGAAAAGTACCCGAGGTGCGCTGGCTTAATGAATGAATGATTTTAAGAAAGAATCGACCAAATCTTGTTCCTAGTTTTTGGACTCCCACTCATAAACCCTGTTACAGGTGCGGGCTAATTTACTAGCTCAGCGCTAAATAAATAAAGGTCGGAGATTACAAATTCATAGTACTCATAGTACCAAGATCATTTTATATTGCTGTACTTTGATCATTTCCCTTGTACCTTTGTTAAACTTGCCTGATTAATAGTGACTTATTTTTTTTTAAAAGCCTCAGTGTGGCTGGGCGTGATGGTGCACGCCCACAATCCCAGTACTCAGAAGGCTGAGGCAGGAGGATTGTCCCAAGTTTGAGGCTAGCCTGGGCTACACAGTGAGTTTAAGTCCAACCTGGATTACAAAGCAAAATCCTGTCTCAAAAAACCAAAATAAATAAATAACTGTTACAAACAATTATGTAAAACATAGTTGCACGGGGCCAGTAGTCCAAGCTACTACTGTAGGGTTGGTGGTGAGGCCAGAGGATCAGCTGAGCCTGTCAGTTAAGGCCAACCTAGGCAATATAACTAGGCCCTATCTCTTAAATGTGAATAAAGCCATGGGCCAGGGATATAGCTCAGCGGTACAAGCACTTGCCTGGCAAGCACAAGGTCCTGAGTTTGATTCCTGGTACCAAAACAAAAAAATCCAAATAATAAAGCCAGGCATGGTGGTGCATGTCCATAATTTCAGCACTCAGAAGGCTAAGGCAGGAGGGTCAAGTGAAGTGTGAGGCCAGTCTAGACTACATAGTGAGTTCAAGGCCAGGCTGAACTACATGGCAATATTTTGTCTCAAAAAAACAAAAACAAAATTATAATAAATAAAAATCAAAGGCAAAAGAACTGCAATATGTTGATAACTTTTGAGCCAAACAATGGAAGGTTTATTACACTATTTTCTTTGATATTTTACATATGTTTGCATCTTCTGTCACAAAAAGGAAGATATTTCTTATTTGAATATTGTAAGAAAATTATGATCTCTATAGCCCATCGTGATGGCACACACCTGTAATCCCAGCACTCTGGGAGGCTGAGTCAGGAGATTCAAAAGTTCCAGTCCAATCTGGGCTACTTTGCAACTTAGTAAGACCCTGTCTCAAAAGAAAGGCTGAGGATATTGCTGAGTGTGAAAGCTTTGAGTTCTATCTCCAGTATCTCAAAAACTGAAAGAAAGAATTATTGGATTACCTCCCTTTCTTTGTGAGCTGTTTCTCAGACAATGCAATCTGTAAACCAAAATAGGCAGCCCTCCCTTGATTTACAGTGCTCCTTGAAACGCCCTAAATTTTCTAGCCCAATGAATGTTTAGCTACCGGTTCTGCTTCAAAGCTGAAGAATTTGCCAGCTAAAGTTAGAAGTCTAGGGAACTCTGTGCGCTGCATGCGCACGATTATGTCAGAACCATAATTAGCAGTCTCCTCACTGCCAGAGCACTTGGTCCTTAGTCCCTTTAGCTTTCACTGAGGTTTGCTTTTTTTTTTTTTAACTAAGCTGTTTTGATAGTACTTAACATTCTTTTCTGATCATTAACTAATGCGGGAGTGAGAAGATACTAAGACCCAGTCTGGGATTGTAAAGATAAGATTAGATAGAGTCAGGGCACCAGAACTCCAGTCTTTTCTTTGTTACCTAAACATTCTTATTTTTTCAGGTCTGTAATGGCAATCATAATCTGACCTTTCTACCTCATAGGATTACTGTGAATCTTGAAACTTATGAATGCGTTCTGAAAGCAATGTACAAGTGAAAGTCTCCCCCACTTATTTAACACATATGGGGGCAGGGGTGCAGCTCAGTGGTAGAGCACTTGCTTAGAATATCCAGGGCCCTGAGTTCAATCCTCAACACCACACACAAAAAAATTGTATAAAATATATGTTTAGTGAATGCCTTTTGGGTACTTGATAACTAGGCCAAGAACTAGCTTACAAAGGTAGAAAAGATGTCTGAAGAAAGCCCTCTATCTGCCCTTGTTTACTGACCTTAAATAATTCAGTATTATAACTAAATAGAGAGTGTCTTGTTTACTTTCTCATTGCTGGGACGAACACCCAATACCCACAAGTTAGAGAAGGTGAGGTTTATTCTGGTTCACAGTTTGTAAAGATTTCAGTCCATTGTAGGCTGGTTCCAAGGCAACACAGCATGGCAGAGGGGCATAGCTGAGGGAAAACAATCCATGGCATGGCAGGGAGGAAGCAGCAAGCACTCTAGGCAGGAAGAATAAATATATATCCAGGCCACTCCCACAGTGATATACCTCCTCCCACCAGACTTCACCTCTCAACATCACATCGAGCGACAGACCTGTCAGTGGACTAATTCAGTATCACAAGCCGATGATCCATCACCTCCCAAAAGCCCCACCTATGAGCACCTGACACTTTGAGGGGACATCTAGATGTAAGCATAACAGACATAGTAACAAGTGTCAGAGACAGAAAAATTGGAGTGCCTATGTGTCACTCTTAGTAATGGCAGTAGTGCTGTTGTGGGAAAAAGTCTAGCAATTCTTTTGTTTTGTTTTGGGGTTTTTTGTTTCTGGTTTTTTTTTGGAGATAGAATCTTGCTATGTGGTTTAGTCTGGCTTGAACTCACAGGGTAGCCCAGACTGGCCTCAAACTTGTGGCAATCCTCCTGCTTCAGCCTTCTGAGTGCAAGTCCGGCAATTCTTTCAAAAGTTCAAAGAATTATCCCATGACTCAGCAATTCCACTCCTAGGAATATACCCAATAGAAATGAAAATAGAGGGTTCACGTGAGAATTTCCACACAAATATCATAGCATTATTCATGAAATCAAAAAGAAGTAAAAACAACTGCCCATCAACTAATGAAGGAATAATAAAATATGGTATGTCCATACAATAGAATATTATTGGCATTTCATAAAAAGAAATGAAATGATGTTATGACATAGATAAATGTTGAAATTATTATACCCAGTGCATTACTCGGATTTCCACCACTGTGACAAAATGCAGTAGCTTAATACAAAACAACTTACAAGAAAGAATGGTTTATTTTGGCTCAGTTTCAGAAGTTTCAGTCCCTGATCACTGTGGCTTTGGGCCTAGTATGGTAAAGTACAGTATGGTAGTGGGCACATGTAATAGGGGAAGACTCTTCAACTCACAGCTTCCTGGAAGTAGGGGCGGTCCAATATCTCCTCAAGGCCATACCCGCAATGACCTAACTTCCTCCCACGAAGCCCCACCTCCTAAAAGTTTCACCAACTCTCAGTAGCACCACAGGCTGGCAACAAAGCTTTTAGGGCATGGGCCTTTGGGCAGACATTTAAGATCCAAAACCTAACACTAGGTAAAGGAAGCCAGCCACAAAATACCATGTGAGATATAATTCCATTTATATGAAAGGTCCACAACTGGCAAATCTGTAGAGATAGAAAGGTGATTCACATTTGCCTGGGGGAGGAGTTGGGGAGAATGAAGAGTGACTGCCAGCAGGTGCAAGGGAGGTGACAGGATATGGGTGTGTGGCACTGGGTTGGTCCACTGATGGGTTTATAGTGAGGTGTGCTGTTGGGAGGTAAAGCTTGGTGGGAATAAGTGGGTCCCTGTGGGTCCCCATGGGTCACTGTGGGCATGCCCTGGAACAGTATATATCCCTCCTCTTCCCTTCATCCCACTCTGCTTCCTGTCGGCCATGGTATGAGCCAGCCTCCTCCGCCATGCCACCCTGCCTTGGAACCAGCCAATGAAGGACTGAAGCCTCTTCAGACTGTGAACCAAAATAAATCTTTCCTTCTTTAAATTATGGCATCAGGTATTGTGTCCCAGCAACAAGAATATAACTAAGACAGAGACATAAAGAAGATGTCAGCTTTTTTACTCATGAAAGGTAGGACAGAGGTTGGCTCTATCATGAGGGTTAATATTTGAGCCCCTAAAAAACTTCAACCAGCCATTCACTGGCAGAAGCTGATTGCCTTAGGTCTCCCAGAAGGGATGGGCATGGTACAGCCAGCAAGTCAGATGTAGCATCTTTGCAAACAGGCAGATTTAGAAAAGAGGACTAGGAGGGGTACATTATTCATAGTTCCCTGTTGTAGACCCCCTGCAGGAATGGGGAGGGTCAGTAACAAAGGAAA